TATAGTCCCAGCACTTTGGGAGGCCAACATGGGCGGATCACCTGAGGTCAGGAGTTTGAGACCAGCCTAACCAACATGGTGAAACCCCATCTCTACTAAAAATACAAAATTAGCTGGGCGTGGTGGCACATGACTGTAATCCCAGCTACTCAGGAGGCTGAGGCAGGAGAATCGCTTGAACCTGGGAGGCAGAGGTTGCTGTGGGCCAAGATCGCGCCATTGTGCTCCAACCTGGGCAACGAGTGAAACTCCATCTTTTTTAAATAATAAATCTTGAATTGTTTTCTAACAATTGAAATTATTTTTTCATTTGACATTGCATTGGAAACATTATTCCACATCAATGTAAATTTAAATATACATCGAGATTCTTTTTTTCCAATTTTTATTTTATTATGTTTATTTTATTTTATCTTATTTTATTTTATTCAGGGGGTACATGTGCAGATTTGTTACCTGGGTATGAGATTCTTAAAATAGAATTCAGTGTATATAATATAACCAACTCCGTAAAATTGGAAATTTATTATAAGCAATGTTGGGTTAAGCTATGTTAATGGATCTTTGTCCACTTGCCTAATTATGTCCTTAGGATAAATCCTAATCAGTGGAATTATTGATTCAAAGACTGTCATCGATTTTTTTTTTTTTTTTTTTTGAGACAGAGTCTATCTCTGTCGCCCAGGCTGTAGTGCAGTGGTGCGATCTCGGCTCACTGCAGCCTCCACCTCCCGGGTTCAAGCGATTCTCCTGCCTCAAGCCTCCCAAGTAGATGGGATTACAGGCACCCGTGACCACGCCCAGCTAATTTTTTTTGTATTTTTAGTAGAGACGGGTTTCACCGTGTTGGCCACGCTGGTCATAAACTCCTGACCTCATGATCCGCCTGCCTCAGCCTCCCAAAATGCTGGGATTACAAGCATGAGCCACTGTGCCTGGCCTATTATCTATTCTTAAAGCTTTTGATACCTGTTGCCTAAATTGCCCTCCTGAAAAGTCACATCAATGTATGCTCCAACCAGCAGTGTTCAGGAGGATCCATTTCTCTACAACCTCACTGACAGTATCAAAATTCAGAAAGGTTGAGTATACAGTACAGTCAACACTAGTATACTCTTCATCTAGATTAATGAAATGTTACCTTTTTTTAATATATTTTTTTTTCTGGATTGTTTCAAGTAAAACATTATTTTTCTTTCTCTTTTTCTTCCTTTTCTTTCTTTTTTTTGAGATGGAGTTTCGCTCTTGTCTCCCAGGCTGGAGTGCAATGGCGTGATCTCAGCACACTGCACCCTCCGCCTCCCGGGTTCAAGTAATTCTCCTGTCTCAGCCTCTCAAGTGGCTGGGATTATAGGCACATACCACCACGCCTGGCTAATTTTGTGTTTTTAGTAGAGAGGGGGTTTCACCATGTTGGCCTTGCTGGTCTCGAACTCCTGACCTCAGGTGATATGCCCACCTTGGCCTCCCAAAGTGCTGGGATTACAGGTGTGAGCCCCATGCCTGCCTTTTTTTTCTTTTTCTTTAAAAATTTTTTCAATACTAGTGTCACTCACCAATAAAAAATTTATTCTTTTTTTGTTTGTTTTTTGAGACACAGTCTCAAGAGTGCAGTGGCGTGATCCTGGCTCCCTGCGGCCTCAACCTCCTGGGCTCAGGTGATCCTCTTGCTTTAGCTACCCAAGTAGCTGGGACTATAGGCATGTGCCACTGCACCCAGCCAATTTTTTTTTTTTTTTTTTTTTTTTTTTTAAGAGATGGAGTTTTGCCATGTTGCCCAGATTGGTCTCTAATACCAGGGCTCAAGTGATCCACCCACCTTGGCATCCCAAAGTGCTGGGATTATAGGTGTGAGCCACCGTGCCCAGCCAAAATGTTTATTGTTAATTTGATGTGTACTGTGGTCTTCGCCCTCATTTCAATAACCTATTGGGTGCTTGGGATTACTTGTACATGTATCACATCCTACAGTTTTATTATAGCTAGTGATCAAGCTTTGGGCAAAGGAGAAATTCAGTTGTCAGTGGCATCACTGGAAATATTATTATTTGTGCTTAAACTTTTATCAGTGCATTCTTTTGATAAATAGAAATAGTAACAAAATATGAATTTTAAATGTGTGGGGAGATACATAAGGAACATTGCTTATTTGTTCTTGAAAATAACAGTGATTCAAATATTTCATTCAGATTTACCTATGCCTAATGAAAAAAATGATGCAGAACTTGATTCTCCACCTTCAAAGAAAAAAAGATTAGGTTTTTTCCAGACTTACGATACAGAATATTTAAAAGTTGGTTTTATTATCTGTCCTGGATCAAAAGAAAGTTCACCAAGGCCACAGTGTGTCATTTGTGGAGAGATCTTATCCAGTGAAAACATGAAGCCAGCAAATCTTTCTCATCATTTGAAGACAAAACATTCAGAATTAGAAAACAAACCAGTAGATTTTTTTGAACAAAAATCTCTAGAAATGGAATGTCAAAATAGTTCTATCAAAAAGTGTTTACTAGTTGAAAAGTCACTTGTGAAAGCTTCTTATTTAATTGCTTTCCAAACTGCTGCAAGCAAGAAGCCATTCTCCATTGCTGAAGAATTAATTAAACCATATTTAGTAGAAATGTGTTCAGAAGTTTTGGGTTCAAGTGCTGGAGACAAAATGAAAACTATCCCACTTTCTAATGTTACAATTCAACACAGGATTGACGAACTATCTGCAGACATTGAAGACCAGCTGATTCAAAAGGTCAGAGAGTCAAAGTGGTTTGCCCTGCAGATAGATGAGTCATCAGAAATCTCAGATACCACACTTCTTTTGTGCTATATTCGTTTCATTGATTATGATTGTCGTGATGTAAAAGAAGAATTATTATTTTGCATTGAAATGCCTACTCAAATAACTGGTTTTGAAATATTTGAACTAATAAATAAATATATTGATAGTAAATCTCTGAATTGGAAACATTGTGTTGGTCTCTGTACCGATGGGGCTGCAAGCATGACTGGCAGGTATTCTGGTTTAAAAGCAAAAATTCAAGAAGTTGCCATGAATACAGCGGCATTTACACATTGTTTTATTCACCGTGAACGTTTAGTGGCAGAAAAGTTGTCTCCATGTTTACATAAAATTCTTTTGCAGTCAGCACAAATTCTAAGTTTTATAAAGAGCAATGCATTGAATTCACGTATGTTAACAATTTTGTGTGAAGAGATGGGATCTGAGCATGTGAGTTTACCACTTCATGCTGAAGTACATTGGATATCAAGAGGGAGAATGTTAAAAAGATTATTTGAATTACGACATGAGATTGAAATATTTTTAAGTCAAAAGCATTCAGATTTGGCCAAGTATTTTCATGATGAGGAATGGGTTGCAAAGCTGGCCTACTTATCAGATATATTTTCACTTATAAATGAATTAAATTTAAGTCTCCAAGGAACTTTGACTACTTTCTTCAATTTGTGTGATAAAATTGATGTATTTAAGAGAAAGTTAAAAATGTGGTTGAAGCGCACACAAGAGAATGACTATGACATGTTCCCTTCATTTTCTGAATTCTCAAATTCATCAGGCTTAAATATGACAGAGATCACAAGGATTATTTTTGAGCACCTGGAAGGACTTTCTCAAGTGGTCAGTGACTGTTTTCCACCAGAACAAGACTTGCGTTCAGGAAATTTGTGGATAATTAACCCTTTTATGAATCACCAAAATAATAATCTCACCGACTTCGAAGAAGAAAAGCTAACACAGCTATCTTCAGATTTAGGATTACAATCAGTATTTAAATCAGTGTCTGTAACTCAGTTTTGGATAAATGCAAAGACAAGTTACCCAGAACTCCATGAAAGGGCAATGAAATTTTTATTACCCTTTTCAACTGTTTATTTATGTGATGCTGCCTTTTCAGCTTTGACTGAGTCAAAACAAAGAAATCTGTTGGTTTCTGGCCCTGCCCTAAGACTTGCAGTCACATCTTTAATTCCAAGGATAGAAAAATTAATGAAGGAAAAAGAGTAGCAATATGCACATTGCTTAATAGCGAAGTTAGTAATCTTGTGTTTTGTATAAGTATCCTAAAAGATAATTTCCTAATGTGGATTTGTGTTTTCAGTGATTAAATGTTTTAATAATTTTTCCCTTTTTGTTGAGGAATTTAATAATTACGATTTTTATAAGTAATTATGTATAATTATAATCCAGGGTAGAAAATTTAGTTATTTCATTAAATTTGGATTAGTGACAAAGACTGAAGGTAATGAGAGGCCCAGTTTATAATGTAACAGCACAACCTGAATGTTGAAACAGCTTGGCCTTCAGAAGCGAGTGGAACATTTCAGTCTTCCAGCCAACCAGCTACTTACCCCAGCAAGGTTGTGAGTAGGTGGAAAAGATGGATCTTTTTTTTTTTTCTTTTTTTTTGAGATGGAGTTTTGCTCTTGTTGCCCAGGCTGGAGTGCAATGGTGTGATCTCGGCTCACTGGAACCTCTGCCTTCTGGGTTCAAACAATTCTCCTGCCTTGGCCTTCTGGGTAGCTGGGGTTACAAGGCATGTGCCATTACACCTGTCTGTTGTATTTTTCTAGTAGAGATGGGGTTTTACCATGTTGGTCAGGCTGGTCTCGAACTCCTGACCTCAAGTGATCCACCTGCCTCGGCCTCCCAAAGTGCTGGGATTACAAGTATGAGCCACCATGCCCAGCTGGAAAAAGAGATCTAAGCAGCTTGGGTAACTATAAACGGAAGCAGTAGGGGGGTTTGAGACCCCTGCTTGGGAGCTTTCTGGCCTAATATACCAGAGCTTAGCAAACTTTTTAAATAGCCAGATAGTAAATATTTTCAGCTTTGCAGGCCATACTGTCACAGCTGCAGTTGCAGTGCAAAAGCAGCCACAGACAATATGCAGATGAGTGTGGCTGTGTTTAAATAAAAGTTATTCGTGAGCACTGAAATAGGAATTTCATATAATTTTCCTATGTCACACAAGCTTCTTTAAAAAGTTTTTATCATAAAAATGTAAAGAAACATTATTAGCTTGGGGGAAGGGGAGAAGCATGGAAAAAAATCAGACAGCTGGGCAAATTTGGCCCATGGTTTGCCCATCCCAGCTTTAGACAGATTTCCAGGTAAGAGCAAATGGGCCAGGAGTGGACTGTAGGGCTTGGTTCAGTGAAGTCCATGGCTGCAAGTATCTGAATTTTCGAACACCTTTCACATTTCAGTCTCAGCTGAGATAAATTAGAGGGAAAAGATACCTCAGGCAAAGATAGAAAAGAGATTTATTTGATAATTAATGGTTTTTGATTTATTACTTATAATTTTATAAATTAATTTACTAATTTACAAATAACTTTCTGAGCTCTTACATGTGCAGGCACTGTGCTAGGCCTGTTACAAACTCTGGAGAACTGAGTTATCCCCGTATACAGATGCAGATACCGAGACCCTTTGGGGTCGGGTGACAGCTCAGATCCCACAGCTACTGTGGCACAGGCAGGAACGAAGCCCCGGGGTCTTTTGATGGTAGCTGAGCCGCACCCAGACACCCAGGCGTGTCTGCCAGCACTCCATACTGGCTGGGAAACACTCCCTGAATCCAAAGGTGTCGGTTTAGTCAGTCAAAGGTGTCGGTTTAGCCAGTGGTCCTCAAGTGTCCCCACCTGTAGGATGGGGGCGCCCTGCTCCAGTGCTGCAGCCTCGCGACCCCCTGGAGGGTGGGGGATGGTAGCTCAGGCGAGAGTCTTCCGGCCGCCCCAGGGAGGGAGGAAATGAGCCGGCGGCAGAGGCGGGTTTTCGGCGGGGCCAACCCACGGTGGGGGGAGCGCGGCCATGGAGCTTCTGCTGTCGGTGCTGCGTGTGCTGCTGGGCGGCTTCTTCGCGCTCGTGGGGTTGGCCAAGCTCTCGGAGGAGATCTCGGCTCCAGTTTCGGAGCGGATGGTGAGCGGCGCGGGCGGGCGGCTGGGGATCGGGCCCGCGGAGGCGTGTGCTCCGCCCCGCCGCTCCCGCCGGCCCAGCAGGCTGCCTTCGGGCGTCCGAGGCTCAGCTGGAGATGGGGGAAAGCGCCTGGCTTTCGACTGAGGCGCAGGTCCTGCCTGGGGAGTTCCTCGAGTTCTCTGGATCTTCCCTAGACGGAAGGGGACAGAACCTCCCCTTTCTGCTGAGCATTGGTGGCCCCAGGCAAATCTACAGCCTTAGGAGGACCTTCCTCCCCACTCCCCGGACCCTGGGAGAGGATGATGCAGCGGGAAAAGGAGCTCACTCCGCGCTGTCTTTCCCCTTTTCGCCGTTTGTTTCAGTTTTCGGGAGGTTCGTGGGGTTGGGGTGTAGTAATCTGGCTTTGCAGGGAAGGAAGCCCGCCCTGAAGGGCGAGTATATCTGCTAAAGGTTGCACATCTAGTCAGGAAGCAGGACATAAACTAGTCACTCCTAACTCGGAACCCAGACAGGGAAGCCTCTCCTGGAAGCCTGAGAGGGAAGCCCTGAAGTCGTCTTTCAGCCTTCTGTCTAGTTCCAGACTCACGGGAAAGCTTTAATTTCCTGTTCACCAATCTCCCCAGTCCCTCAAAAGAGCTAGACTTGTAGACCCCTGCTGGCATCTCTCTCCAAGGCCTGGATACATCCCCAGAGACGATGACTTAGAGCTGCTGCCCAGCAGAGCTGAGGAGGGGAGGTAGAGCTGAGGAATGGGAACAGGAAAAAGTAACCCCGAAAGTAAGGGTGAAGTTACCATTTGGCTCAGGGGTGGACCTGCCTTGACAAGAAAAGTCACTTTGAGCCCACCTAACTCCTCCCCACCTCCAAATATTCCCTGTACAGCAGCCTTAAGAGAAACCAGGCCAGGCACAAAGAAGCAAACTATGGCATTCCCCAGGCCTTGGCACTAGGGAGTCAAGCCCAGCCCCCTCCTCCTGGGATTTGGCCTGGGTTGTAATCTCTTGAGAGGTCTAGTGAGAAAATCTATCTCTGTACCACTTGGAACATGGAGCCTGTTTCCTGATTCCAAAGCTCAGCGCCACAGGGCAGCCCTCTCCCCTCCAGGCTGACCTCAGGCCTGGACCTGACCTAGAGTAGTAGTTCTTTTCTCTGGGGAGTTGAGGGCACAGGCATAGATATGCCATGGAGCATCTGGGGAGCTCATCCTTGGTGAGCATGAGGCTGACAGGCATTCCTTGCCACCCCTAGAACGCCCTGTTCGTGCAGTTTGCTGAGGTGTTCCCGCTGAAGGTATTTGGCTACCAGCCAGATCCCCTGAACTACCAAATAGCTGTGGGCTTTCTGGAACTGCTGGCTGGGCTGCTGCTGGCCACGGGCCCACCGATGCTGCAAGAGATCAGTAACTTGTTCTTGATTCTGCTCATGATGGGTAAGGGGGCCAACTGGCCCGAGAAAATGGGGTTTTCTGGGGGAGGATGATGGAAAGACCTGGCTGTTCCCCCTTACTGTTGCCACCCTTCTTTTTTCTCTGGGATCAAGAGCACTTCCTGCTCTACTACAGTTTCCATGGTCTTCAAACTAGCACAGGTACTTTTTAAACTTAATATGCTAGAACATTATCACATGTTAAGCGTACCTTCTACCTCCTCAATTCTAATGGCTGCATGGTATTCCCTTGTGAAGATGTATTGCAAGCTCAGTGCCTCTGCTCCTTCCTCCACACACCCACTTCTGGGATGAGGGATGGAGGAGCAGCTGCCATTTGATGTATGTGTCTGGCAGATTGGTGTAGAGAGCAGGGAAGCTGGAGAACCTTGAACAGGAAGGCAGAGAATTTCCCGAGGGAGTCCTCCCCCCCACCAGTAGCTCTGCCCACAGGAACTGCTGATGTACAAAGACAGCTGTTGCTTCAAAGGCCAGATATCTTCAGGCTCTTCTATATGCCCTGGCATCTGTTACCATTGCTGCCACCACTACCAGGCTTGCTTCCATTCCTGGAGCTTCTCTCATTTTCAGATCTTTCCCATACCTCCAACCAACAGCCAGCCGCTGGGCTAGTCCTTCCCTTCATCTTAATCTTAGTAGATGTAGGATTAAGAAAGGAGAAGGGGCCAGACACGGTTGCTCACGCCTGTAATCCCAGCACTTTGGGAGGCCGAGGTGGGCGGATCACAAGGTCAGGAGTTCGAGACCAGCCTGACCAACGTGGTGAAACCCCATCCCTACTAAACAAGCATTAGCCGGGCGTGGTGGCGGGCGCCTGTAATCCCAGCTACTCAAGAGACTGAGGCAGGAGAATCACTTGAAGCCAGTACCGAGAACCCAGTAGCCCAGCTACTCAGGAGGCTGGCAGGAGATCATGCTACTGCACTCCAGCCTGGGTGACAGAGCAAAACTCTGCCTTAAAAAAGAAAGAAAGAGAGAGAGAAAGAGAGAAAAGAAAGAAAGAGAAAAGAAAGAAAAAATGAGGAAAGAAAGAAGGACCAGGGAGATTTTTTTCCTAAAATCTATCCACTCTAGCCACTGCCCTATTTTGCTGGGTCATTTCTGTTTCTTGTCCTCCGAGAGGGGCAACTGTTGCCACTGCTGTTGTTCAAGAGGCTTCTGATTTCCTGGTCCTGCTTTCTCCAGGAGGCTAGAGATGAATGCAGCTAGTTTTGGTAATGCACGTTGGGAGTGGTGAGGGTGTTTAATGGGAGGGCTTGGGCTGGAGTGGATCAGCCTAAACTGGAGAGCCCTGAGCTCCTGGATCTCCTGGGTTCTCCCAAGGAGCCTCAGGGACCTCACTTTCCATTCCAGGGGCTATCTTCACCTTGGCAGCTCTAAAAGAGTCACTAAGCACCTGTATCCCGGCCATCGTCTGCCTGGGGTTCCTGCTGCTGCTGAATGTCGGCCAGCTCTTAGCCCAGACTAAGAAGGTGGTCAGACCCACTAGGAAGAAGACTCTAAGTACATTCAAGGAATCCTGGAAGTAGAGCATCTCTGCCTGTTTATGCCGTGCAGCTGTCACAGCAGGAATATGGTAGAACACAGAGTCTGTCATCTTGTTACCAGTGTAATATCCAGGGTCAGCCAGTGTTGAAAGAGACATTTTGCCTACCTGGCCCTGCTTTCTCTTTTTAGCTTTACTACTCTTTTGTGAGGAGTACATGTTATGCATATTAGCATTCCTCATGTCATACGAAAATACAAAATAAGCAGAAAAGAAATTTAAATCAACCAAAATTCTGATGCCTCAAATAACCACTTTTAATGCCTTGGTGTTAGTATACCTCTGAACTTTTTTCTGTGCCTTTAAACAGATACATATTTTTTTAAATGAAAATAAAACCATATATCCTATTTTATTCCCTCCTTTTAAAACCTTATAAACTATAACACTGTTTCATGTCTCTTTTGCCTCATTGCTGTTAATGGCTGCATAGTATTCCATTGTAAGGATGTACTATAATGTATTTCACCCCCCACGAGGAACATTTGGGTTTTTCTCAATTTTTTGCTATTGTAAGCCTCACAGTAAATCTCTTTTGCATACTTATTTTCTTCCCCTAGAAGTAAGGGTGCTGGTTCAAAACACATGCATATTTTTAAGGCTTTTAATACATATTTAAAATGTACAGGTTCTGTATGGCAGAACTTAAGTACTTGCTTCTGCCTATGCCCTTTGAGCCACATTAGAGATTCCCTCCCACTCCTTTTTTTCTCTTGACATATTAGATTTGCAGAGCTAGCAGGTAGGCATTGAGTCATTTGACAGGACCTGAAATCAAGCTCTGGTGGTGATGTGTGGTACCCAGTCCAGTGTTCCTTGACACCTACATGGAGGTGAGGGACAGCCAACTCCGTGAAATGCTGAGTGGTACAGCAGGGCCCAGAGCCTGGAAGGAATCCCAGAGGTCCTTGGGGGTAGGAAGGGTGCATATGTGTGACAGTTCTTGGGGGAAAAGTGGACAACACGTTAGGGCATCTGCTATTATGTCACCACCATCTTTATCTTAGCTAGGCAGGGCTTTGGGCTTTTGGGAAGTGATGTACCTCCCATGAGGGATCATAGTGAGAAACAGTTCACTTATGCAAATATTCTAGCTATCAGCCTACAGATTGCTTTGAGGGTGTAAGTCTCTGTTACTCCATTTCATGTTCACTACAAAATGCTAATTCCCATTCTGACTAGTGAACCTCAGGCAAGGTGACGCTCTCAGTTGGATTTTTTTTATTCTTGAGTCTGAAAGCATGGTGGTGCAGTCTGCCTATAGTAAGGATAGATAGATTACGCTAAATAAATGGTAATGTCAAAACCATAAGGAAACCTTTCTCTCATGTAAGAGGTTCAGAGATAACCACTTCAGTTTCAATGTTGGTTAATTTGCCTAATGATGGCATCAAGAATCAACATTCTTTAAACTTTCTGCTCTGCTGCTGTCAGTGTATTGGCTGTTGCCCTCAGAGTTGCGAAATAGCTGCAGCAGCTCCAGATAGTGCATTTGCTATAATACTGAAAGGTGAAAAGAGAGGAAGGGTGCTTTAGAAGACCCTAGATTTTCCCATAGATTTCACTGGGCAGAACTATGTCCCATTTCCATTCCTACTCACTGGCAGGAGAATGGAATTCCCATAATGCACTTAGACTAGTTAAGATTTACCCACACTGGTCAGCAAGGAAGAAGAGGAAGTAGACAATGGTTTCTTGTCACTTACTAGCTTATTTGAAAACTATGAATAATGATAGTAACTATTTCATAGCCCGGCACATAGTAAATGTTGAGTAAATGCTAGCCATTATTAAATATTGATTTGTTTTACAGTTGAAAAAATGCATCTGGAAAGCTTAAGTGCCTATATGTGAGACCTGGAACTAGAACTAAGGCCTAATTGATTCCAGAACCCAAACCTTTCACTGCACCAGCTGCCAAAGCTGAAAATGGACAGGCATGGCACCCCTGCTCTCTTCAGTCTGAGGGTAGATGGGATGACCTGTCTGGCATGATGAAATCTGTCCTGCTTTCCAGCATTTCCCCTCTGATTGGATTTATTTTTTTTTTTATTTTTTTTTTTTTTGAGATGGGGTTTCACCATGTTGGCCAGGCTGATCTCGAACTCCTGACCTCAGGTGATCTGCCCGCCTTGGCCTCCCAAAGTGCTGGGGTTATAGGCATTAGCCACTGTGCCCATCTTGCTTGGAAATTTTGAAGCCCAAGAAAGTAAAGCCTGGAGCCCCAAGGATCCTGGCCTTATACTTTCTCCACCCCTTCCAGGATGCCACTGCCAGCCTGTCTCCTGCCAGGACGGACTTTGAGTAAAACCTTTCGCAGCTAGCGTTAGATTGAGGGCTCCTGTTTACCAGGTCTGGATCTGTAGGCTGATAAGCAGCTACTGGGGCCCCCAAGCTTGGCTGTAGGACTGCCCAGCAGCTGCAGGAAAGTCAGGGTGCTAGAGGAGTAGGCTGGGCAGCTGGTGTGTACCAGCAGTTGGGACTGATAGCAGCAGGAGGATCTTGAGCCCAAGCGGTGCCTCCTTAGCAGCCCAGGGAGAAGCTGGGCCTCAGGAAATGTGCCCCCCAAACTACAGCCTAAATCTAGGTCATCTCAGCACGATGATGTTCAGCTGCCTGCCCTTCCTAATACATTTGTATCTCCCTCCCTGTGCTGAAGGCTCTCTTGTCCTCCGATGACACTCCCTTCCCTTGGGGCCCTGACTACAGCCCCAGAAACCCAGCTCATAGGTGCCACAGGTGGGCTCCAGCCCTTCCAGCTGTCAGACCCATTCTTCATGTCGTTTCTTGGAATTAGCTGGCCGACGGGAGCGTCTGGGATGTGTAGGTGGGAGGGGATTCTGCCCTGTCTCAGATCCTTAAAGTCAGGACCCCAGAGAGAACTCCAGCAGCCATTATAGCAAGAGGCAAGAAAGGAACAATCTGGTAGGATGGCAGGGGATGGGTCAGGGTAGGGCTACAGGCATGGAGAACAGAACAGAGGAAGTGGGGAAAGGAAATACAGTTACCCGGGGTCTCAGGATTGGAGCCTGAGATGCTCAAAGGCAAAAATCCAGATTTTGGAAGAACTGAGTTTTAGGACATCCTAGGAGTGTGTAAGTGTGTCACAAATAGTAACGGGACATTGATTTGTACACTTACCTCCCTTGGGAAGAGGATAGGAATATGCCCAGAAGTTTTTATGTTGTTTTGTGTGCCTGGGGTGTCTATGTCTCTGAGAGTCTGTGTGTGCCTGTGTGAGTGTACACATTTATCTATGTGCTGCCTAGAAGGGAAGGGAGCTAACAGTAATGAAGTATCTCCCCAGTGTCAGCCACAGGGCTCAGTTTTACTTATGTTTTCTCATAATCCTCCCAACAACCCTGTGAGGTAGGTATTTTAATCTCCATTTTACTGCAGCAAAGACAGGCTCAGTGAAGCTGAGTAATTTGCCCAAGGTCACATGGCAAATAGATGTGTATATCTAGAATCTGCCTGATTGCTGGGCCTGTGCACTTTTTGCTTTTCTGTCCAGAGGTCTGAGTCTGACCCAGGACTTCCTTGTGGTCAAAAAGTGAGGGGGGAGGAAAAAGGATGGAAGGCTTCAGAGTGGCAAAAGCTTTTCAGCCCAGCCAAGGGTGCTCCAGGCAAGTGCTGAGGTACCTCTCTGGGAGAGGACCTTCACCAAGGCAAGTCCGAGGTCACTGTGCATAGGCCTATCCTATGGGTCACTGCACCACAAGCCCATTCCTCCATCCATGCTTCTCATCTGGGTGGCACAGGGACGAGGGAGTTGGGTCTTTTTCTGGACAGGCCTCTATGTTTCAGTCTCTTTCTCCAGAACTCCCTGTTGGCTCAGCCCTATGTGGGTTTACTGCACAGGTCTGTGCCCCAACATGATGAACCATACTTCATCTGTGAGGGGCACCTCTACCCTCTCAGTCACCAAGGTTGGAAATTTCCAAGTTATCTAGGACTCCTGCCTCTTCCTCGCTTCCCACAGCTTGTCACCAAAAACTCCGGAGTCCGTCCCCTCTCAGCAGCTGCTGGCCAGGTTCGGTCCTCATTCCCTCTCACATGGACTCTGCCTCTAGTGCCCCCTCCCCGCAAGGGCTGAAGAAGAGGAGATTGGGGTGGGAGAAGGTGGAATGGGGGTTGCCTTTGTGGCTAGCCTCCGCAGTAACCTTTCCTCTGCCACATCAAGGTCAGAGATGAACAGCAGTGTTGGGGACCTGGGTGTTGGCGGCTGCAGCCTCTGGGATGACCCTGCTCGTTTCATCGTGATGCCCGTGGCCTATGCCTTGGCGCTGGGCCTGGGGCTGCCAGCCAACGTGGCAGTGTTCATCCACAGCGGCAGGCGCCTGGGCCAGGCCCTGCTTCTCTACCTGTTCAACCTGGCTCTGGCTGATGAGCTCTTCACGCTCACGCTGCAGCCGTGGCTCATCTACTACCTGGGCCTGGCCCGGAGGCCGCCTGCCGTGCGGCTGGGGCCGCCTACTACGTGTCCACCTACTACGTGTCAACCTACGCGGTGGTCTTCGCCGCGCTCATCAGCGTGTGCCGCTGTTGCTCCATACGCGGCCCCGGGCGCGGGGTGGCTGCCTGCCTGGCCTGCGCCGCTGGCGCCCCGCGCACTGCCTGCGCCTTCGCCTGTTTGGCGGGCCTGGCCCCTCCCTGCCAGGATCACCGCTGGGCAAGCTCTGGGCTGGCCTCCGTCACGGTGGCCTTCTTCGCGGCTGCCTTCCTGCTGGTGCTCGCGGCCTACGTGAGCCTGGCACGGGCGCTCCAGACGCCCTCGGGCCCAGGCCCTGCTAGCGCCGGCGCGCACCCGCGCGCGGCCAAGACCATGGTCCTGGGGCTCCTGCTTGTCTTCGCCCTCAGTCTGGCGCCCTACCACCTGCTGCTGGCGCCCAGGGTGGCCGGGCGGCACAGCGATGGAGACCGGTGTCGTGCCGCCTCCACCCTCGACAATTCTGCACACCTTCAGCCTGGCGCTGCTGAACCTCAACAGCTGCCTGGACCCACTCATCTGATGCTTCTTCGTGCGCCGCTTCCGCCAGGACTGCTGCTGGGCACTGAGCTGCCGCCCTGTGAAGGGGGCGCCCAGGGCGCACGGGGCCTACTTGGCCTCCTCCTAGAGAGTCTCCTGGCCTCCCCGCCTGTCTCACCCCCCTGCCACCCTCCCAGTGGCATCCAGGGTGGAGAAAGCTCTTTGGAAAGACCTAGATTCTGATCCTGACGCAACCACATACTACCCCTGTAGCTGTGAACCTCCGGGCTCATCTGTACCAAGGGCATAGAACATTTTTTTGTAACCTGAATGTTCCCTGGATGTTGCCAGCTTTTGGATACAAATAATATACCATTGTGTTTTTTTAAACCTCTTGGGATAAAAGCCAAAGTCTTTATCATGGCCTACAAGGCTCTGTCTGATTCGACTCCCCCTTCTCTCCAGACCTTATCCCACCACCCCTGCGTCTCCCTGCAGGCAGTCACCACTTTCTCAGGCCCGGGAAAATGCCAGTCTCCTACCCTTCACGGCCTTTGCACCTGGCTTGGCCAGGAATGATCTCTGTTACTCTCTTTAGTTCTTTTTCACCCTCACTTCCTCTAAAGTAACTCCTTACAGGAAAGCCTTTCTTGGCTGGCAACACACACACACACACACACACACACACATACACACACATACACACACACGACTGAATCAGATCGGATTGCTCTTTGATAGCTCTTTTCATAATTGTAATCAAGCAATTAATTGGGTCATGCGTCGTTTTCTTTCTCTCTTGCCAGAATGTATTCATGCTGACCCATAAGAAATTACCATTTTTATAAGTCCCCAAAAGTTGAATATTGGAAATTTTATTTCCACCCAGTTCAACTTAATAAATTCCGTGTTTACCTTGCTCACTGCTGTATCTCCTGTGGTTGGTACTGTGCCTTGCATATAATAAGAGCTCAGTGTATCAGATGAGTGAGTGAAACCTGAATATCATTAATTTGAATTGCTTAAGTACTCACTCAGACATTCCAGTCTCTGATAGCTTTTCCTCAAGTGTTTCTGAGATTCTCCAAGCTTGTCTTACCCACCCCCACCGTACATTCCTAGCCCAGTTCTGATGTCTGCCTCCTTCTGCTGTTGCTGGATACTTGCAGTTCTGCCATCACTTCCAGTGTACCAAGACTTGCTGGTAAGTAAGCTGGAGATCCAGCCTGCTGGAGATCCAATGCCTGCTGCCTCCAGACTCTTCCATGAGCGCCAGTCTCTGCCAGGGGCTCCAGCTACCAGTGCTTACCCTTCTGTTCTTTGACAACTCCACAGTCTGCTGCAAATGGGAAAGGGCATCACTCTCCTCAGCCACATTATTGGGACCCCACAGCAAGACCGCTTGGGTCTCAAGGAAGTCGAGCTTGATGAGTGAGAGCAAACCCTCTTCATTTGGCCATGTCAGCTGGTCAGGAAGGGTCCATCAATCAGCCACCATGGCTTACCTGCCTTTAGGTCCTGTTGCTGAGTTTGACTTCCAAGGATACATTTGGTAAATTCCTTTTTTTCTTGATGAATTACCTCTTTTTGGTCCCTAATTCCTTCTTTAACTTTTTTCTTTTCTATTTTAAAAGTAATATAGGTTCATAAAAGTAAATTCAAAGCAGTAAAGAAAAATGTAAGATAGGAAGTACTAGCCAGGGCAACATGGCAAAACACTGTCTCTACAAAAAATACAAAAAGTAGCCGGGCATGGTCCTAGCTACTCGGAGACTGAAGTGAAAGGCTTGCTTGAGCCCAGGAGGTCAAGGCTGCAGTGAGCCGTGGTGGAGCCACTGCACTCCAGCCTTGGAGACGGAGGAGACCCTGTCTCAAAAAACAATTAGAAAGTAAAAGTCACCTAGTGATAGCCACTATTATATATGCAATTATAAATATACACAATATTCATTTGTGTGTCTTTCCAGATATTTTCTATTCCACTGTAAGTCCATATGTAGTCAGTTTTCTTTAAAAACCTACAAATGGGATAGTATTGCAAGGTTCTTCTGCAATTTACTTTTCTCATTTTATCTTATATATTGTTCCATATTAGCACATATAGATTCATCTCATTTTTTCAATAGATGCAGAGTATTTATTTTACTCAATTAGTCCCCTACTGATGGGCATTTGTTTCCATTATTTTACTGTTATAAACAATACTTCAGTGAATGTTCTTGTTCACAGATGTTTGCGTACTTGTAAATCTGTAGAATAAATTCCTGGCAGTGAAACTGCTGTCAAAGAGTATCTGTGTGCAAATGTTTAATGACAGCAAATTGCCTTCAAGAACACTGCACCAGGCCGGGCACAGTGGCTCACGCCTGTAATCCCAGCACTTTGGGAGGCCGAGGGGGGTAGATTATGAGGTCAGGAGTTCGAGATCAGCCTGGCCAAGATGGTAAAACCCCATCTCTACTAAGAATACGAAAAATTACCTGAGCATGGTGGCAGGAACCTGTAATCCTAGCTACTCGGGAAGCTGGGGTCACTTGAACCCAGGAGGCGGAGGTTGCAGTGAACTGAGATCGCGCCACTGCACTCTAGCCCGGGTGACAGAGCAAGACTCCATCTCAAAACAAACAAACAAACAAACAAATAAAAAACAACACTGCACCAAATTATACACTAATCAAAAGCATGTAATTGTTCCTCACCAGCACTGGGCATTATCACCTGCCCCTTCTTGAGTCTGGACTTCTGTTGGTGCCCTAGTTCCTCTAGATGTATTTGAATAAAGCTGCATTCTAATTGTGAGCATGGTCAATTTGTTTCTTTTTCCTAGAAGATTTCTCAGTCTCCTCCATAGCTATTTGAAACCTGACTGGGTCAAACTAAGATCTCATACCAGCCAAATATTAGCTGTCTTGCTTGTTGAAGGGATTAAATGAAAACCCAAATGCAAACTGGTAGGTCCTTAATAATTAATTCCCTCCCCTTCATTGGGAATTAGGCTGGCTCATGCCATGCAGCCCTGACCAGCATCTCAGCCCAAGGCCAGGAGGCAGCCTGGGCCCACATCATGAATTCATTTGCTATGGTGGAATGAGTCGCTCAGCCCCAGGGGCCATGCAAGGTTGGGTCTTTGAGAAATAACTTGGCATCCACACTAGAGCCAGCTGAATCTCCTGAGGCGGAATTTGATCCTGCCCAAATAAAAAAATAATTCCCTATGGCCACATCCATCTCTGCAGTCTTGTACTATCATGCTTTTGATGTGACTTTTCCCCTAGTAAAGTAGTCAGTTTCCCTTGGGAAATGTCTAACTTAGTCTTTTGTGTCTGACCTGGGGAAAAAGAGCCTAAGAGTCGATTGCTTCTGGCAGGTCAGACATGATGGAAATAAGCCTCTGTCTAGAGTGACAGTGTGTGGGGATCCTCTCCTCCCTCTGGGTTGACTCAGGGAAGGAGGAACCTTGGGTGAGGACCTAAAGGTGAAGAACCCGAGGAATGAGAGGGAACAGACTGCCTTGCACTGGCAGTCCTTTTGGACTCTCGGTCTTTATACTTATTTCAAACCATCACGAATTTGACCTAAGATCCTTCCTCAATCTAGAAAGGAAGAGAATGGAGTCCAGGTTGTTCAGGTTGGTTGGAGAAGGGAGCTCCCTTCCTCTTGGAAAGAAAAGAAAGGAGCTTGACTAGATAGATGCTGGACACCCACTTTCTCCAAGGATTCAGGGAAAACTCATCTGCAGCTGTTCTCAGTAGCTACCAATTAGTTTGCCCCAGACCCCCACAGTCCTGCAGGACCAGAAACATCCTATCCCTGCTCCTACAGAAACATCCTATCCCTGCTCCTACCCACCCAGGCCACACCCTGTGGCTGTCAAGTGCAGACATGGTCGAGGGAAGCTGCTCCTGGCACACAAAGAACAAAATTCCCTTTCTCTACTGGACTCTACTCTTTCCCTCAGCTCAATTACAGTCCAGGTCTCTGAACTCAGCCCTTCCGGGTTCTTGACCTTGGCCAGGATTGGCCCAGGTCCTTGGCTGTGCACACACCCACCTGGGCCCTTCCACCAGCCATGCTTCCTCTGTGACCCTGCCTGCTCCTGCTGGGGCCCTCACTTCCAGCCCCTGTGCCACCTGCTCCCCGGGCCTCTGTAGGGAAGCCTGTCAGATTCAAGCTTGATCTCTGTCTTGGGGCCTCAAGGCATTTTCTGCATCTGATTCTTTGCCTTGACATCTGTGCCCCTCTTCTCTGGCCGTAGGAGGAGGGTAGTGTTTGCCCCTCTGGGTCCTGCAGATCTCCCTTGAGCTGCAGCTGTCCTTTGCTGACCTTGAAACCACCTCTTTGAACTATATTCCAGCTTCAGGGACAGCAGCCTCCTTTCTTGATCAACCATTCCTAGGCCTCTCTTGGGCCCACCCTTTCTTGCCTTTGGTGTGGCACATGCCAGTCACCTAGCCCTGACGGGGAATTATTGTCATTAAATCAGGCTTCCTTACGCCTTATTCTTAGTGCTCACCAGCCTAGTTCTGAAATGTATTTGTGGTTGGGATGCTGGGCTCATGTTGGTCCCTAGCATCCGTGGCAAGGGGATGAATGGTGGCCCACATACTCTATGTCTATATATTTAAAAATTATAAATCAAGCTCATACATTGCTGAATAAAATGCATTTCATCCTTCTGCATTGACAAATCTACCTTTGTAATGACAAAATAGAAAAATATGTGGGAAGCTATGGTTTTTCGGGACCGAAAGCAAATTATGAAAGATGACTGCATTCAGTTTTACATATTGTGTTTAAACATTGCGTTTGGGGCCGGGCGCGGTGGCTCAAGCCTGTAATCCCAGCACTTTGGGAGGCCGAGACGGGCGGATCACTAGGTCAGGAGATCGAGACCATCCTGACTAACACGGTGAAACCCCGTCTCTACTAAAAAATACAAAAAACTAGCCGGGCCAAGGTGGCGGGTGCCTGTAGTCCCAGTTACTCCGGAGGCTGAGGCAGGAGAATGGCGTAAACCCAGGAGGCGGAGCTTGCAGTGAGCTGAGATCTGGCCACTGCACCCCAGCCTGGGCGACAGAGCCAGACTCCGTCTCAAAAAAAAAAAAAAAAAAAAAACAGAAAACATTGCGTTTGGGTCATGTATGATACATGATTATCACAGAAAATATAAAATATTTGAATTTCATCCTATAAATTACTATCATTCATAATGTGTTTTTCTTTTTTTTACTGTTTCTTCAAGCCATAGTTATATTCATACAGTATTTCTTAACTTATTTTTTTCAAAATCTTCAATGATGGTCTATTTAAAAAACAGAAATTCACTATTATATTATGACAGTTTGTTGTTAAACTTGTTCAAATTTCTCTTCAATCAATGAATACCTCCATCTGTAACGGTCAAAAAATAGTCTCTGTAGAAATTAGTTTTGAGATTATTTGACTGTGAACTTAGTCACTGTCATGCACATATTTTCCTTTCATTGTCCTAATTGCCTTATATTTCATTGAAATTTCACTTTGGTTGTATATTTCATATGCAGTTTTCTTCCAAACTAGGAAAGCCATGTTCTAATACCTACAGAAATATTTTTTAATTTTAAAAGTAAAGTGGTTAAACTTAGTTGTCTAAGTCTGTTTGTGTTGCTGTAAAGGAATATCTGAGACTGAGAGATTTACAAAGAAAAAAGGCTTATCTGGGCTGTGATTCTGCTGCCTAGAAGGTTCAAGATAGGGCATCTGCTGAAAGCCTCAGGCTGCTTCCACTCATGGCCACAGGTGAAGGGGAGCTGGCTGTGCAGATATCCCATGGTGAGAGGAGAAGAAAGAGAGAAGCAGGGAGGTGCCAGGCTCATTGTAATGAGCAGTTGCAGGAGCTAACAGAGTGAGAACTCACTCATAATTGGAAGGACAGCACCAAGCC